TTGAAGGTAAACTATATCAATATAAATATCACAAAGAGAAGGAAGAAAACTTTCTTTTATGAACAAATTAATACATCCTTAATATACAGAATTATCGAAAAATCTTGATGCATACGCAATATTAGGTCTCTATTTTCCATGTCAATGTTTTTGTAATAAAATTGGCATTAACAACTGAATGTTGGTAACATCTTTAGAATAATATTTTTTTATGAGTAATATATCATGCAAGTTTCACATATCAGTTTTATTTATTATGCAAACAAAAAACTGAAGCATAAATTTTCATTTATAAGTAATTTCAAGGAATTTTGGCCACCACTGTACGTACATATGTACCTAATAATAATAATAGCTGGCCACTTGTATTCAAGGATACCTGTCTACTAGGGTGGCTAGCCAGTCCCTATTGCAGACACTCACTCAGGCACATTTTTGTTTGTCCAACACCCACAGAGCCCACCTGTGATTTATACTGCAACTATGCTGAGCAGACCTTAGTTGCAGTTTCTAGGAGAGAGCATGTTATCTTGCATGATCAACAATCTGAACAAGGCGAGCGCACTCAAACCCTCAGTCACGATGACTTGTAGCTTTGTGCTAGCACAGTTACTAATGGCGCCAAGTGTTCCGTTTACCCAATTTCACTCACAAGGCTTGGGTCAACCTGTGGTATGGTTTTCAGGCACTTTCCAAAGTTGCTACATGCTGTGATCACCACCTCCTCTCCAGACTGATAGCATCAGGAAGTTTCCTTCCTGACAAATTAACCCTACCTACCTACATACCTACATGCCTACATAACTACCTATATACCTATCTACGTACCTACCTACCTTTATACCTACCTACATACCTCACTGACTACAGTTTAAATCAAAGATTCATTATAATTTCAATAATATTTTCCCTGATTGTATAGTATATGCTTTGCCCAGGCTAAATATGGTTTTGAATTCAGAGTTGTCTTTCTCCTAGGCTAGTTGCCAATTATGGCTACAGACTTCATCTGAGCCATGGAAATTTGACATATTAATATTAGCATCTTATTTCTCTATAAAATGAATTCTACTGTTTCAAATTTAATATTTACTTGCAGAAGTTTTTATTTCTTCCCCGTGACATTTGCTTGTTTTACATTCTCCTCTCTATATTTTTTTAATTATTGGTTGAGTTTTTAATTGAAGCACATAACTTCTACTTGAAACATCAGGTTCATCCAATGTAGCTCTACATTCATCACTAAAAATTACTTTTAAAAAAGCAGTTTTCAGGTCCTTTTTACTGAACTTATATTTGGTTGCTTTCATACCTTCAGCTAATGTTCTTTGGATTCTGCTTATTTTCTCAAAAGTATCACAGCTTCATATATTTTCTTGCTGGTTAATCTACTTTTCTTGTATATAAATATTTTCTCAAGTCTTTTTTGTGGCATTCTTAAAAACAGTTTTTTTCTTCTTATCTTACCAAATATTTTTCATTAATTTTTACTGCTGTATGATCTCCATTCAACTTTTTTACAATTTCCAACCTTGTGTTTCCATCACACGATAATTTAACAATATCTTTTTATCCCCTCTCACATTATATCTTTCTTATGGGTCATGCCAATCTTTATATAACTGAAATTAAAAAATAAATAATAACTACACTTTTATATATTTATATAAATTATGATATACTTATTTGCAATATTATGAACAACTGTTGAATTATATTATAAAATCTAACACCCCTAAATAAGATATTGCAAATATTTCTAATAAAAACTGTTCATATAAAGTGAAATTATTAATTTGAAGACAGCAAAGAATGTAATGGAGAATTTACAGAAAGTGTAAGAATAACAAAAATGAAGATACTCGTACAACCATAAAAATAATTTTAGTTTGGATTTATTTTTTGTATTAATAAAAAAGCTCACAAGTGCGCATGTTAAAAAAGATACACTTATCTGAAATCTTCATGAGGCTGAATCAAGATTTTTCCAAAAAAATATCAGATTGTGCATTTCATGTTTCAAAAGTTAGATCAACTTGTACCTCTTAGGTAAAAACCTTAGTTCATCAACATCATGATCCCAAAATGAAGAGAATCTTCATCATCATCATCATTGTCATTGTTGCTGTTGTCATCATGGTATGTCTATCTTTGGCCATCTTAGGAGATTTTTGTGGCCTAATATATAACGCCTGAAGAAGGCCAGAGCATACAGTGGCCAAAGTGTTGGGAATATGGCAATAAAGATGAAGACAACAGACATGTAAATAGTTACAATACCTCATCTCAGAAATATAGACAGAAGTTTGATTATTTCATCCTTAATCTAACTTCTTACTTCATAGTCCAGCTATCAACAACAGTTTGAGCCAGCCAGCGTCATCTGCACCTCTGACTCACCATGGGCCACAGTTCCAGCCATCTGCAGTAGGCCTCAGGTCTGGCCGTTCTTGGCAGCAGCAATTGTATGCAATAAACTGTCCACTCAGGACCAGACTGTTCAGTGACTACAAAACTGTCCACTCAGGACAACACTGTTCAGTGAATACACAAAACTGTCCTTTTCAGGAAAATGCTATTCAGCAACTACAAAACTGTCCTACTATTTGCCTCATGAACACTGTAACCTTTTTTTGTTGATCTATTTTTTTAACAAAATAATCTTGGCAATATATTTGTTTTTACTCAAGCCTTCGTTTTGTTTGTTGTTGTCTTCCATCATTCAATATCTGTTTTCAGGCCAATATACCATCCACATCAGGTGCATGATAACTAAACCTTTTCCCTGACTCCATTTAATAATTGCAATGAGCAAAAAGGGGCATAACTCTTTCAATGAGCAAAATACGAGACATAACTCTTTTCTTAAAATTTGCTTTGTTCTGTTTAAAAGGAGAAGATAGGAAAAATTCAGAGAAGAGAATTTTTAATCCCTCTTTTGATTTCTGAAAATGTCTGATAATTGAGGAAAAAGGTTGATAAAAAAAGATAAAGAACCCAACTAAAACCTAAATTCAATTAATTCATTCACATACTTGTAAAATAAATGCTATTTAAAAAGTAACAAAATACATAAAAGAAGCTATTTTTGCAAAGTTGTTGCACCCTGAGGTACAACCAGTATTTCATCTTGGTTAATGCTTAATTAGTTTTTTCAAACATTTTGTTTTTACTTGGTTATGATAGGTTACTGAGTGTAAATAAAATTTAAATAAATTAAATTTGTTTTTTTTTCATTATGAAGTTACAACCAAAAGTAATTTTCTTTTTGTTGTTGACTCTTTTTATAGTTAATTGACATTGTCTGCCCACATGACACACCCTCATTTACTTGTATTTGATATAACTTATGTCATATCCTTTTCCAACGAACCTCTTCAGATACACAAGTTTCAGCTTTTCATTTGCCTTCTATTTCAAAACTATAAACAAAATCAAGAACCTGATAAAGGAATCATTCTTAGAATTTGATATTCTATAAATGAATGAATGTTTTTCATAATTTTTTAATAAACTAATTTCTTGTGGTAGAGTGTTATGTTAAGGAGTAGTTTATATGGACAGGTGGGGAAAGATTACAGTTGACTCTAGACAGGAACATGTTAAGATTGTAGTGACTGGAAAAACAACCTCTTGGTGGTCTGTTCTACAGTGTAGTGGTTCACATGAAGAAGCTGTTTGAGTGGAACTTTCTTCTTGATAATGGAAAACGAAGAGAATGTAAGCAGCATGGTGCATCCTATTCCTGAAGGTTAGTGCTGGTGGAATCAGGAGATACAGTTTGTCCAAACACTTTCCATGGCAGTAGTGATAAGAGCAGTGAGAGACTTGGACCTATTAATAGTAAGATAAATTCTTTAAAACACTTGTACCCATTAATACTGTGATAAATTCTGTAAAACTCTTGGACCCATTAATCAGTTAAAAATCACTGTCTTTTCTGTTACAAGTAACCCTATTACTCTTGAAACTATCAATAGTAAAATAAATTCTTCAAAACATATTACCACTACACACACGAATTATCTTACTATTTTAGAATCCGCTAGTAATAAGATAAGTTCTCCAAAACACGTTGATTCTACAGTCACAAGTTAACTAATTACTTTTGGATGCATTAATAGTTTGTATTTTTCCCACAAAATTAAATTCACAACATTATTTGGGAGTGCTTTCTATTCCTATTTGTGACAACATTATTGACGTGTTATAATGTTCAGTCTTTTATTAAAAGTTTAATAATTTTAGATTCAAACTATTGCTTTTATCCATTGTGTGCCATGTGTCCTCAAGGTTACATGGCACAGTGGATAAAGGCATTAGTTAGATCTCGTGAGAGGACCCAAAGAGTGTGAGTTCAATACCTGGTTAAGGCAGTGGATAACTTGGACAGGGGAATTAACAGAAGATAACTGATAACTAACATCCATTAGACATGGCACGTGGAACTAGAACAGTCTACCCCAGTGAGCAAAATAAAGGGTTCAGTTTGACATTCCATCCACCTGAAGAAGGCCGGAGTGTAAAATGGCTGAAACGCTGTAATAAATATGGTGACAAAGATGAGGACAATAGTCTGAATAATGTAAATAGTGTACATAATACCTCATCTCAGAAATATACAGATAATGGAAGAAAATTATATTTAAATTGTTAATCTTTTTTAAGGTTGATTTTTCTTCATTGAAACTTCACCCTATACAAAAGGCCTAAGTGCCACTCAAATGGTTACTGAGTGAGGCTGTTGTATGAACAGAAGAGAAAGAAATGAATTCAGATTATGAGGAATTATGGAATAATAATCTTGCAATGAGTTTGAACATCTCTGAAGACACTACACTTGCAGCCTCCTACCATACTAGACTAATCTTAATAAATATCAATAATAAAGTTAAAATTCTATTCATTATCATATAAGTTATTTTTAGAAATCTCTTTAAAAAAGCATGAATCCAAATCTCCCTTTGAAAACATCATCTGCAAATTTCTTGCCAATGTTTTCAAATCATTTTAAATTCATTCCTACTAGTGTACTTACTATGGTTATTTTGAACAAATACATAAATAAACCTGAAATTATTAAAAAAGGAAATGGTTAACAAAAGAAAGAAAAATTGAATAAGAGAAAGAAAAAAAAAGAAAGAAAACTGAATAGGAAAAAGTAAAATTGAGTAAGAAAAAGAAAGAGAAATTGAATAAGAAAGAGAAGAAAAAATTAAATATGTCAAAAGAAAGAATATGTGACAGGAAAACTGAATAAAAAAAGAAAAATTGAGTAAAATAATGAGAGAAAGAAAGAAAGGAAAAAGAAATAAAAATGGAATAAAAAACAAAAAGAAAGAAAAATTGAGTAAGATAATGAAAGAAAGAAAGGAAAAAGAAATATGAATGGAATAAAAAACAAAAAGAAAGAAAAATTGAGTAAAATAAAGAGAGAAAGGAAGAAAGGAAAAAGAAATGTCAACAGAATAAAAACAGAAAGAAAAAATGAGTAAGATAATGAGAGGAAGAAAGAAAGGAAAAAGAAATACAAAAGGAATAAAAAACAGAAAAAAAGAAAAAATGAGTAAGAAAAACAGAGAAAAATAATTTTTCATATAATAATTAAAACAATTCATCTCAAAACTTCAGAAATGGTTGCTATTTACATTTTCACTTCTGATGTACAGGATTCTTATCAGAAGAAAGAAAAAGTATTTATTATTTACATTTTTAAGTCAAAATTTCTGAAATGCATGAGGTGGACTTAAATAAAATGATTTTATTTCTTGATATTGAGAATGCAACATCATTGATGGTCCAAAGTGCTTGCTATAAGTGATTATCCGATGCCTTTGAAATGGTCTAACCAGCAAGTTACCATTGCAAGTTGAAGTCAAGTAACCAAGAATCAATATTTCTCAACTCAACAACGATTTATATTTTATTGAATTTATTTATTCTTTTTAAGATTTTCTTTTGCAAATGCGTCTTTGAAATATCGCTGCTTAATTCAGCGAAATCCTTTCTTTACAAAAATGCTGATTCCTTGTGAAAACTTTCAACCATTCATTCTTCTTTTCGTGGATAGATTTTAATTTAATATTACAGTCTTCAAGAAAATGAAAAGAAAATTGAAGAGTTTCAAAATGTAAAGAGGCTTAACCAGATATTAAATATTTTAGATTCACGACTGGTTAGAAATGAGGAGATAATGAAATGAAGAGAAGAATTTTGGTTAACTCATATTGAAGAGCAGGACAGAGGTAAGAATGCCAAGGTGAGTGAGAGACGGAATAGAAAATAGAAGGAAAAGATAGAATTAGATTTTGGCTAAATGAAAAGAGGAAGAAATGAAAAAATAAAGAAATTGCTTGGAAATAAAGGAATGACAAAGAAGAGTGGAATGACAGAAAAGTGAAAAAGAAAAAAAAAAGGAGAAGCTAATAGAATAAATGATGAAAGAGAAAAGAAAGAAGAAGAAGGAAAAACAAGATGTGGTGAGGTGAAAGTAAAAGAAGAAATGGTGAAAGAGAGAGAGAAAAGAAAGGAGAAGATAAAAAAACAAGGAGGTGAATGTAATAGAAGAAATATTGAGATAGAAAAGAAAGGAGAAGAAGAAAAAAGAAAGAGAAGAAAATAATAGAAGAAATGATGAAAGAGAGGGAAAAGAAAGGAGAAGAAGGAAAAACAAGAAGGAGGTGAAAATAATGGAAGAAATGGTGAAAGAGAGAGAGAAAAGAAAGGAGAAGGAAAAACAAGAAGGAGGTGAAAATAATGGATGAAATGGTGAAAAAGAGAGAAAAGAAAGATTAAAGAAAGAACAGGGAAGAGGGGAAAGTTTAAAAACAGATTTTGAGATTAAAAGTAAAAGACGAACACTAATAGAAAAATGAAAATAAAAAAAAGAAAAATTCAAAACAATAATAAACGAAATGAAGAAGGAGAAAGTGCCATAAAGGAGAAGGAATTCAGAAGATGAGACAAAAGAATTAAAAAAGGAAGGATCACTGACAAATAAAATAGATTCAATCACTTTATGCAATGATTCTTATAAAGAAGTCAGGGAATTTTATTTATTTATTTTTTTCAACAGATTTGATTACTTAAACACTATTATTAGTGGATACCGATATTTCAGTAGATGCTCCATTTATTCATTAAACAGTATATTTATTTATTTTCACCTACCCGCCTGAATATTCAAGAAATCTTATTAAAAAAACATGTTCTCCAGCAATGATTTTAACCTGAACGCAACCCTTGGTAGGAGAAACCATCAGTTGATCCAACAGTTTTTCGTGTCATGTGGCATGTAAATTCAAATCCTGTTGAAAAAAAAAATTATTTTTCTTTAAAAGATTTCTCATATATTGAGTCAGTAGATGAAAATAAATAAATATGCTGTTTAATAAATAAATAGAACATCTACACAAATATAGGTATCTAGTAAAAATAACATTTAAGTAATAAAACAATTCTTATATAACAATCATACTATTCCAAACATTATTTTGAACCAATTCTGGCCTTTAATGAAATATCCAATTCTTAGATTTTGATTTCAGATTTGCTTTTCTGTCATAGTGGCTTCTATAGAATGGTAAAAGATTTTCTTTCTGTTTATTAGATTATCCAAAAGCCTTGTCTTGTGTCTCTTTGTAGATTATATGCGAATGATTTAGATTACATGGGAAAGATTTAGTTTTAATTAATTTCATTAAAAAAATTCTTTTTGATTCTGTTTTGACAGCTGTCAGATCAGTATGCATATTTTTTCAAACATTTGTCAAATACTGTCATATTCTTGTTTATAAATTCTAACCTTGAAGATGGAAGAAAATAAGGGACATTTTTGACATCTTGTGTATTTAAAGAAAGATATAATTTGTCTCAAATGCAGAAAATTAAAGATTTTTATTGTTTATAGAGAGGATTCTTTGAATGATCATAAAAATACCAAAAATGATCTGCAAAGTTTGATGCCACAGAATTCATGCTGAAAAATTATGGTCTATGGTCAACTCAATGATCTAAGGGAAAATTTATATAGCAATCAAGAATTGGGTTGAAAATAGTCAATGTTATATATACTGCAGGAGACATGGTATACAGAGGATATACTTAAAATATTCAAGTATTAGAAATTACTTGCACAAGCTTTGATATGTAGCTTCTGCATAAGTAAAAAAAATCCACTGGACTTTCTTTCCATGTGCATTTTCTTGATTAAATATAATAAAGATATTTCAATTTTTTAAACAAATTTTGATGAGCAATAAAATGTAATATTACTTTAATAATTCATCAAATAATTAATTTAATTACTTCTTTAAAGCTCCATCAATCTGTGGAGAAGGCAATGGGAAACCTATCTATTACCTTTTCCAAAAATGCATGGCAATTCATAGATTATAAAGAAAAGGAATCTGTGGAGAGCCATGACCACCAACGTACTGAAGAGACAGGGCATTATCAAAAACACTTTAAATATATTTTTTTTATAAACTTGGCAAAAACTGCTATAAATAGTCAAATAGTGTTGATTTATGAAGTGCTTTTTTTCAAGGCAGTTTGTATCAAAAGCAAGAATTTTTTGAAAAAAGCATTGTCGTGTAATTTTAATTTGTTTAAATATTTTAAAGGTCATTTGCATCATTTACATTCAGACTAATATCATCATCTTTGCGGTTATCATCTGAATGTTTCAGTTGTTGTGTCATCTGACCTGAAAGAGAGGAACAGTATTTGAAGAAATGTTGAAGAATAGAGAAAAGAACAAAAAAAGGGATGAGAACAAGCTAGCCCTGTAGATTAAATGTAGGGTTCAGTTCAAAATCCTCTGAAGGTTAACTTCTTTGACATATTCTTGAAGAAGGTCAGAGGGCACAATGTCCAAAATGTAGAAATCAAAAAAATCCAAACAGAAATTTTAAATGTCAAAGCATATTAAAATGATTAAAGTATTATAAATGTGGCCAATGTTCAAGAGTTATATTGACTTCTATCCGCAAATGATTTCAAATGGTACAATGGTGGATTATTCCAAAAAGAACTTCATCTTCTATGTGCTGTGTCCTTTCAGAGGGGACTATGGCTCACCTTAACTTCCTATCCCTCACAGATCTTAGTAGTGTTTCTCCCTTTGCCCAGCCTCCCACCTCCTGTTCTGCTATCCATTTATTCAAGTTTGTCAGGTTTGTGGCCTGCTGCCTTCCCCTATCCATCCTGCTTTTGATATGCCCTGTGAGGATCAAGTTCTCCTATCCCTCCTTCTTCATTATGTATTCTTGAAATTAGAGCTATCTCTTTCTGATTTTGAGTAGCAATCATGATCACAAGTGTCCTGTAAGCTATTAATGTCATGGAGGCACTGCATGTATTGCAGCCATAGTAGAAGTGGTGCGTCTTGGACAAGAATGTCTGACAGAGCCCAACCCTCTTCAGGCTGGTTTGAATTCAGAATTTTTCTTCTCCTAGACTAGTTTCCCTCCAGAGCTATAGAACCTAATCTGTCCTATTTGCACATAGCTGACAGGAGGCAAGAAGAGATGGATTCATATCTTTCTCAAAAGTATTAGCACATAAGTAGAAGTAATGAACTTGGCTGGAATTTGAACTCAGCCCATTGAGATGGTAACCATTACTCCACCATGCATCTATACTCTGGGTATAAGTGTTCTTTTGTACAATTTTCTTGTTGCTTTCTTACTCTATCCATGGAATTCTCATTATCCTTCTGTAGAACCACATTTCTGCCATCTCCAGTTTCCTCTTCATCTGCGTTGAGATTGTCCAGCATTCACTGCCATATAAGAGGATTGATATCACTTAGCAATTCCGCACTCTTTACTTTGTTTCTATCAAAATTTTCCTGTTTCTTAGTACTTTGTTTAGCTTTTGAAAGGCATCCTTCAATAATTTGATGCATTTGGATTTTACGCATATGAAAAATTCTTTCTATATTCTGGTGGGAGATAAGCAAAAAATGAATTCATAGAAAAATGAAAAGTAAGAAAAGAAAGAAAGAAATAGTATAAATAAAAGAAGTAGAAAAGGAGAGATAAAAAAAAAGAAAGAAATAGTATAAATAAAAGAGGTAGAAAAGGAGAGATGAGAAAAAAGAAAGAAATAGCATAAATAAAAGAGGTAGAAAAGGAGAGATGAAAAAAAAGAAAGAAATAGCATAAATAAAAGAGGTAGAAAAGGAGAGATGAAAAAAAAGAAAGAAATAGCATAAATAAAAGAGGTAGAAAAGGAGAGATGAGAAAAAGAAATATAAAAGGAAATAGATATTAAAAACCATTATCTTCTCCTCCTGTCCATATAAACTACCCCTTAACATAACCCTCTACCTCAAGTGGCCCCCAGGCCTTGTACAGGGTGGAACTTGCAAGAAAACAAAAATGAATGAAATATTGAGAGATTGAATGAATGAAATCAAAGAAGATATGAAAGGATTCTGAAGAAAAAAAAAAGGCAAAGAGAATGAAAAAATTTTAAAGGAAAAAATCTAGAAAAGAAAAAATGAAAGGAAAAAAAAATGATGCAAACTAAAATTTCACATGGATTCAAGAACAAAGTCTTTAAACCTGATCAAAATACTGTTTGCCATTTCCTTGCAAGAGAAACCTTTGGTCAGTTTCTTTAGCATATTTCTCAAGAGTCCATTGATAACTCATCTTGTTAATGCAGAAATCTGATCATTCCTCTAATCTTATTTGATTATTGCCAGTTGTTAAATCTGAGATCAAGCTATTTCATAAACCTGATTGCTTTCCAGAAATATGGAAAATGCCTTGCAGAAAATCAGTGCATTTTTCTTTCTTCTGGAACAATTCCAGGGAAATTATTTTGATGCCATCCTAAATTATGCTTTCCCTTAGGACTTGGCTTTTTATATGAATAATACAATTCAATCACGACTTTTATTGGCATGATCCAAAAAGAAGGGCAATGCCCATTAAACGTTGATAGCTTCCTTTATTTCATTTGTGCAAGTGGGAGATAAAGTAAAGTGTTTATTGATAACAATATAAAATTGTAGATTTTACAAGTACAAGAACTTAGTTTTTTGTTCATTCTAAAGCAGCCTCGATAACTTGATATGCAAATAGCTCTCACATAGCATCTAATTAAAAAAATTTGAAATATTTTCTAACTTTCTGCAAAGGAATAATTTAGAAAAATGTCATTATTCAAAAAATTGCACTATTTGCATTGTTTTCTGACTGTTGTCATCATCTTTATTGCCATATTCACAACATTGCGACCATTGTATGACCTTCTGAGCTTCATCTGTGATATATGTTGGAATTTCAAACCAAACCCTTTATTTAGTCCACGGCGTAGATTGTTCTAATTCCACATGCCATGACTTTTTTGAATATGCAGTATCAGTTAATTCCCTTTAGTAACTCAAATCTCCAAACTTTTGTTCACCTTTGCTTTGTCCAGGTATTGAACTTACAATTCTTTGTGTCAAGCCACTTATTGGATTACATCAACTAACACTTTTGTCCAATGGGCCAATTGGTCTTACAAGAATCATAGATAACTTCTGTTGTAAGAAATCATTGCCATCCAGAAGAAGAATCATCTATAAAAGAATTCAGACCATTACCAAAATAGAAACTTGATGCCTGGCATTAGTTTCAGGTCAGATTTTAACAGTATTTTGATTCTAGGGAATCAAAACATTAAAACTTTTTCTCAAATTGTTAATTTAGTATTTATTTTATAGCTGTGTTTCAGACCAGCCAAGTTGTTAGAATGTTTGTTTAAACAAGAGATTAATGCTGCCAAAAGTTTAAAATAAAAAAAAAGAAAAGTGGAGCAGAATATTTGGTATCAGTTAATTTGTACTCATTAGATGAAAATTTTCATAAGAAATGTGTGTGTACCATATATACTCCTGTACAGTGTGACCTCTGAATATTATGGCATGAATTTTAATCCCTCCAAAAACATTTACTTGTGTATAGTGCAACCGGTTACCAGAAATGCATGATTTTGAACCTTTTTATTTTGTATCAAAAACTGATCATAAAAACTCAAACTCTATTTGAGTATATATTAAATATATTTCATAAGTTTTCCTTCACATTTTTTTTCATATAAGAACAACTGAAAAACATTCAACATTTTAAGGTTTTTTTTTTCTTCTTAAAGAAAAAAGCCTCAAAATATTGAATGTTTTCTTTTTTTTCTTTACAGGCTTCTGTCGTTTAAAATTATGAATGTCATCATATGGCAAAGGATGAACAAAAAACCTGACCAGAAATTATTAGAAAAAAATCTAAATGAAAAATTAAAATAATCCTGTCACACATTAGTATATAAAGCACTCAAATACCACCTGCATCACTTGAGGTTGTGCCCAGTTATGACACTCCACAACTTCCTCTATTTTGTTATTTGAAGTAACTTTAATTCTTTGCTGTAATAAGTTGAATGTCAAATTATGCACTATGGAAAAACAACAAATCTGTAGAAGTGTAATGTTTAAGATATAATCTGTTAGGAAAAATCATTCATGTGGAATATACTTTGTCACACACCACTAACTTTGACATCATTAAATCTCTTATTCATAGTGGTTTACAGCCATATCGCATTCAAACACTATGCTGCAAGGTTGGATGTCCAGATGTTGTAATGGATAATCGAAGAACCAAGTCCTAATTACAGGCATTTTTCACCTCACTCTCAAATACCCTTGGAAAAGATATGAATCCTCTTTTCCCCCTAGCTATGGAATAATTAGTAGGACTTGTATCAGTAAATCATTATTATTCCCAAAATATTTTTACAATATGAAAATATTTTATGGATTTAAATAACCTGCTTAAAGTTGATAAGCCATAAAAAAAGTCAATCACTTAAATGTATTCATGGCAACAGTCTTCTACAAAGGCAGTGACATCTTTCTGCAAGACAATGAGCTATGCCATACTTCCCTGTTTTATAAGAATGGATTAAAGAATATGAAGAAGACTTCATTGTATTGTCCTTGCTCCAAACTTCCAATGAGAACTTGTTTCCTCTGTAGAACCTTCACCATATACCTTGAAGCATTTAAAGAAATTGATGTTATAAAATGACTTTATACATTCAAGCAAAACTTTAGAGGTCCTGTTGAGTTCAAGCCAAATCATGCAAAAGTTGTTTTATCAACATATGGAGGGCAAACAATATATTAAGCAGGGTGGATATAATGATTTGGGGTTTCAGTGTACAACAAACAATCACTTGTAAATATCACCTGGAGATCACTTTTAATCATGATAATTTTACAAGTTTTATAGTGTTCTTAACATTTACTATATATGTATGTATATATATATATATATATATATATATATATATATATATATATATAGATAGATAATATTATGAAATATACACATACATATGCAAAATATATAAATATATATACATACATGCATACACATACATATATATTTTTTGAATAAAAAATTCAAGAGGATAGAATCCAGGTAGAACTCAATGTCCAGGACAGATAAGGATATAATAAAAAGCTTAAACACTAATATTCCATGGTCATAATTTATTCCATTGGAATCGTAAATAAACGTAATTCATCAGACCTATGCATATATATATATATATATATATATATATATATATATATATATATGAGAGAGAGAGAGAGAGAGAGAGAGAGTACAGATTATATCTGAAGTAAACTCATATTTATCCAAAATGTATGTGTGGGAATGGTGATTTAAACAACGTCCAAGACTCATTTATCTGAAATTTCTAATCACAATTTTCAATATTTACTCTATGGACAGGAGGAGAAGATAATGGTTTTAATATCTATTTCCTTTCTCTCTCTCTCTCTCTCTCTCTCTCTCTCTCTATCTATATATATATATATATATATATATATATATATATATATATATATTATTATTATTATATAAATATTATTATTATTATTATTATTATTATTATATATATATATATATATATATATATATATATATATATATATATATATATATATACAAATTGTCCATAAAGTCCATGTGCACTTTAAAAATTTATAACTTTATTTGTATTTATGATAGAAATAATCTGTAAAAAAATGTTATAATCCAGTGTTTCAACAAGATGGAGCTCCTTGTCACTTTTCTCTATGTTTTTGAGAGTTTCTAAATCAGGAATTTTCTAACAGATGGATCGGAAGGGGTGGACCATTTTATTGGCCTCCACGATTGCCAGATTTGACTCCATTAGATTTTTTATGGGGACATGTGAAAACAATTGTGTATGCATTACTGTAAATCAGTTGGCAAATGTTTTTCATGAACTGCAAAATCATATTACCCTTTGTATTGCTAATGATGGAGGACATGTGGAAACTTAAATAAAATTTCAATAAAACCTTAAAACATATAGATTTACTTCTTTCTAATCCTTTTTTACAAATTATTTCTACAAATAATACAAATACAAAATACAAATAAAGTTATAAATTTTTTAAAGTACACACGAACTTTATGGACGCCTGTATATGATACGATAAAGAAGAAGTAGGAAAACAGATCTTAATCTAACATGTTTCACTTTATTAAAGCTTTGTCAGAGAACAAGATAGAAATGAGAAAAAATGATAAAAAGTAAAGAGATGCAGATTAATTGTATGTTGTGATTGGCTATATTTTATTGTTCAGATAAGTGTCATGTATAATGAAGTAAGAGATTATATTCAAATACAGTGTAACCCGGATATAAGAGAAAACCGGATATAAGAGAGATTTTCTCTGGTCCCAAATTAAAGCCATACTTACCTAAACAAAATAGACCAAACCCGGATATAAGAGAAACCCGGATATAAGAGACTTCTTCTCTGGTCCCGACAACTCTCTTATATCTGGGTTATACTGTATGTGAAAGAAAACATTCTGGATTCTAAAGCATGTAAAAGTTATTGAGACATTGCAGGATGTTTTGGAAAAAATTTGATTGGTTAGATTTTTCATTAAATTATATCTCTTGTGTATTTTGTATATATATTGATTTTTATGTACTCAGAAGAGAGAAGTTAGATTCATGAATAATGGATCTGTAGAAGAATGGTGATGAAATGTAGTTTTTTCAAACGTGTGTTAATAGTTGGTAACGTTACTATAAATATATTTTCATAATATTTTCTCTTTTAAGAGTTATGTTCTTCTGTTCTTTTTTGATAAGGCTGGGATTGGTGAAA